ATTAAATATCGAAATTAGAAGAAAAGTGTACTATTTTTAATGATAGGAAATGCGTTTTTCTAAGGTACATAAACTTTTGGTATTGACTATGTAGCCAATACATCCTTAAAGATTACATGGGATATCAAGCTCAAACAGTATCCACGTGTCGTTTAGAAATCGATAATACAAATTCAGGATTTTCCACGATTCAAAATATTCCGATGCTTACTTCTCTGCATTACACATTCTTTATTGTACTCTTTGGACAATTGGACGTTATATGAAGATATTATAGGATTTGATCACGCGATTTCGTCGCGATTCGACCGATTGCGGCGACACCATTGTAATTTGTAGCGTCTCTATCTGCGTTTGTCTGGAACCGGTTAACGAGGACGGCCAATCGGAGGAGAAACGATCTCGGATCGCCCCCAGCCAGCCCGATTAATCGCCTCTTCTTCAGGCGAAATAGCAGCGGCGCGGCAGCAGCTCGTCGCGACTCGTGCTACGTACACACGTGCACGCGTGTATGCATTACTACGTTACTTTAAATATTTTCAACCGGTAGGTGGGTACGTGCAATTTCAGTTCCGCGCGCTTTCGTCGTTTCAACGCGAAATAAAGTGGCCCCGTGTACACGAAGCAATTAATTACCGCGATCTGATTGCGCGCAATTAATCCCGGTGCCCGTCTTGCCGACGGATCATTAATTAAGAGTAAACGAATGTCTCCGGGATGTAGACACCCGAGGGATACGCTCGTTTATTTGGAATAATTTACTATAAACGGACCTAGGCTCGCGATCCCAGCGATAAATTGCCCCTTATCGGATAGTTGGCTATCATTCGGACGTGTTACGTGCAAACTACTTCTTAGCTCTTACTACGGTAGCTATTTTTTACTACTGCTCCCATTACAGAATCAATTATATAGATATATATATACATACATTATCGGTCCAAATAATTTATGCAGACAAACAATTTTAAATCGGTTGTATCGCTTATAAGCAAATACCGAGCATGCATTTATTTTCCACGTAAAGTTTCCACCTGCCGGTGGAAAACGATAGCTATTATCGTTCGACGGCATTCCTCCGACTGGAATCGTCTTGTTTACTTTTTATTTATACGACGTGTGATGTTTCTCCCGGGAGAAACCGGCCGAGTTCTCTAGACTCGTTACTCGAGTCCTCCCACGCGAATCGAATTATCCTGTCGGCGCGAAAAAGAGGAGGCGTGCCTCGTTTACGACCGCTTACCTCGATTAACGCCACTTCTGTGTCCTTCCCACCTCCGATTCGCGATACCCATTCTCCCTCTGCGTTCGAGAATTCCCACTGAGCCATAAGTTCCTCGCAAAAAAGAAACAAAAAACAAATATTAATTTGTTTGCACCAGCTCAGACTTGGAAATGTAATCGTAGCTCGAAACACGAGTTTCCCTAGGGGTTTAGTCTGAGGATTTCTCGATTCGCCACAATCAAGCATGAGTTTTGTCCATGAGAGATTAAGCGGTTTAATAATATGATCCGAAGGAGCGGCAACGATCGGTGCATTAAGGTCAGCTGGGTCACGGTGTATAAAGATAATAACCAGCCACCGGCCAGCCGAACGGAACGGCGAATGAGTTCTCTTATGCACGTCCAGTGTATGTAACGCGTGTGAGAGGTTCATTAAAACGGCGCGCTCCGACTTTCGGTCAGGTTACCTCTTTCGCCTGATCTTTTTCGCTGCTGACATTTACACGCGAATAAACGATCATCGGTATCGTGTGAATTATTGCGTTTCGTAAATAACTAGTAAATGCATACAAAGAGGGTTATTACTTAAGGTCCTGTCAGACAGGAATCGAGATTATTTCCAGCGAATTAATTACAAGCTTACCCGGACTTTGTTTTAATATTTCATTTTATCTGATGATTTTAAAGAATGGCAGAGCAAGCTAAATTAAATTTGTTTAACGAAAAACACTTATAGATCTGTTTACGTCAGTATAACAGTCATTCGTTTCATTCGACGCGCGATCGTTCGCAGTAATAAGAACGTCAGATCGAGTAATCGCATGACGGGTTCCCATGGAGTACGATGATAATTGATGCATCAAGGAAGCCGTTGTCCACCACGAAAGGGTTTCGGAGGTTCCCTTAATGATGAGATCGAACGCCAGAGGATGATCGGGTCGTCGGGGTCAGGCTGTGCAAAAATAATAATCAATCGAACGAGCGGCAAGTGAGAGAGTAGGCCAATTACGCGGTGGCGGCGGTGTCTGTGCTGCGGTTTACCCGGGCCACGAGTCCTCCTACCGCCTTTAATTCGCCTCCGTCATTCCTCCCCGGGCGCCCCCTCCCCTCCACCTATCATAACACAACTCGAGACTCCCTCGCTTTATTATTAAAAGTTAAAATTCCGCTGGGAGCCGGGCCCCTGATCTTGTGGCGAAAAGCTCCCACCTGCATCGCCTTCTTCTTCTTCCTCTTCTTCTTCTTCTTCTCCTACCTATCTTCGTCTCTACCCGTTTCACGCCGCCCTTTATAAAATCGTGCAAACCCTCTCGTTCCTCGCGAACAACCCAGCATCCGGCTCTGCCAGTTTCTCTGCCTGGTTCATTGTTCAAGCTTTTGACTGACGTGGGTTGTTACAAAGTTTCAGTCGCGTTAGGGCTGACGTTCTCAGGTAGATGAGATGTTCTGACAGTTGCAATAATGTAGATGGCTATGGTAATTGATTCTGCCTAGGAAGTACTTAAGATAATTTGATCAATCTTTGAATCTATCAATATATAAACAGGAAGCATTATTTACTATTTGTCACTATAAATGTTTAAAAAGAAAATCTCTCTGTACGAATGGTTCTAAAAAAAAGTGGACCAGAATAAGCAAGGAACATGGTAACTCGAGCTAGCGCTTTTCGAGCGGTGCGTGTATCGCGACCGGGCAATAAAATTCGCGGTGGAGGACTTTTTTTCCATCGCTCGCGTGGGTACATCGTCGGCCTCGACGAGCGGAATTGTCCGAAAGGCGGTAAAACTGTCCAGAGGAAGAGTAAAGGGATTGCGGAGTGGCCGTATACGAATTACGCGGGCGTTTACCTACGCGGAGTCGATTGAAACGCGCGGGAACGGGTGAAATATCCTCTCGGTCGGTCGGCGCGCCGTTGGTACCGGTTCCATCCACGAATGGAATATTTAAACGGGACAGGAGTTGCTCAGCGTTCCGCTGGCCGGAGTCGGAAAACCGCAGCTCGTTTCCTCGTCCGCCTCGTGGCGGCCCCTCTGTCACCGAAAACGCACGGCCGCAGAACATTTTGAGGGTTTATAAACAAACGGGTACTCCTCTCGACCCGGAATGTTCTCCCGTGTAACTCCGATAGAAACCGTGTCCCCGACGATTTGCGAGTTCTGTTCCGAGTAATTTTACGACTTTGAATATCTTGCGTTTAATGTAAAACTGTATCCAGGATAATGTATTAGAGGAAAAGGAATTTTCAGGAATGCAAATTTATTACTCGTGCAATTTGAATTGTAAAAAGAAGGGATTTACAGAAAATCTTGCGTAATTATTAATAATTTGGAACATTTTATTGAGATATCACTTGTTTGAAAAAATTCTAATCGAACGCCCATCACTGATCTCCCCATCCAACGTCCCAATAATATCTTATTCTCCTATGCTATCCGAGAAATGATGCCTTAATAATTCATCAAAAATCAATGGGGGAAGTGGGATGGGGTCGATTATCATTGGCGCGAGCTCATTTTCGACGAGTCCGCCTGTAAAAATCGTTCCGAGAACGCGGATCGGAATATTAGCGAGCAGTCTTTTTTTCAACGAGGAGATCATTCGACGATGGTTAACGACTCGGTTGAAAGCGGCGCGCAACTCGGACCGCGAGTAATTCGACGAGCGGCCGATTCGCGCGATTACGTATTATGCTAAACACGCGAGAATGGCTTTTTAAATGGAACGTCTACATTCATGCGACCCATCTTTCGATCGACTCCCTGCTCTCTATCCCTTCGTCGCCTGGAGAACGCGTAAGTATCGGGCGAATTAAACGCAATTTTCGTCCATGCGAGGTATGCATAACAAATTGTCGACCGGTTCCTTCGAACGTCTTTATACTTCAAAAGCCGAGCGAGCATGGTCATTATGCACGTAGCACGGGGGCAGAAAAGCGGTGTTTCCCAGTCTCGTCGACGATTACAATCCAATTATTATTCCTGCATAAATAGCTGTCCTCTCTCCGATCGTTTCGAGGCGATCGTGTACTCACCTGGCTGACGAGCACCTATCGTCGGTCCAGCCTAATCGGTCGCGCTTCGCCGTGGATAATAAGGAATGAAAACGGTCGGGGAGAATCGGGGATCGAGGACCAGGCTCGCGAAATTGAAAATTAAACGATTAGACGATCAACGCTTGATTAAACTTACACTTTTTCTTAAGATAAAATCAAACATATAAGTTATTTTTTATTGAATTTCTAATTGTATATTTTTCTTTGTCTGTTTCATGTGCGATTTTATTCATCCAGGATCCAACATCCGTGAGTATAAATTGTATGAAAGAAAGTTGCAGAGTAGTAAACTGCCGAAACGAGGGGTTCGGTTAGCACGAACGAACGGGTTTTGTTTTCCGTTGGGGGGCCAAACCGGCGCGAACGAGAATCTCGGAAAAAGAGACTCGTATCGCGTTTTGCTCGCTGCGAACTGTGTAGTATGACTGGAACCGGGGAAGAAGATGGAACGAAGTGGCAGCATCGAAAATTCGGTGTTTCACGGTTACCGACACGCCTTCACGCGCTCTCTTTCTTGCCACCAGCTCGATACAAAGGAAGGATGAATTTCTAATTAACACGTTGTCGTCCGTAAGAGATACGCTTGCCTGACGTGGCAATTTCTCAACGTGGACCTCTGTATCGAGTCCAAGCCAGAGGAGGAAAAAATTGTTTTCGTTTAGTTCTTTTACCCCCAGGGACCCTTGATTGAATTCTCTGCTCGGTACTCAAGCGGACGTTTCTTGCGAGGACGTAAGAAACTATAGGAATTACCCTCTACATTGTAAAACAGTTCCCGAACCGTGTTCAAGTGTCCATGTTACAAGTTCATCGAATTCTTAGTAAAGAAACCCTTTCGTTCGACGAACAGTTTATATGAATCGATGGTGTTTAAAGCTCTGTTATATACATCCATTATAAATACTTTTAATGATTGCTTTGTATTCCATATTCACTGCAACGATCGTATCGCATGCATCAATCAACGTTTGCCGTGGAACCAACATGGACTTCAGGGCGTAAGTAATATTAAGACTGAACATTTTCTATTCAAATCTGGTCTGCTGGCAAGAGGTTTTCAATCAGGCGGAATATCTAATGCGAAGCTATTATTATACGATGAGATTAATTGTTACTTTACTACGACCTTTCAAATCTAGTTCTCAATCTTCATGTTTTAAAATAATTTGCACTAATTGCACATAATTGTCCCTGATGAGAAACGTATTGCTGGCTAGGCTACCCTACAGAAATAAATCACCGGCCGTGTTTCCCGATTGAAAATCGCGATCGATCGCGACAATGACGTGATACGAGCGGCGCAAAACACGTGGATCGTTATCGTACGTTTGTTTCCCGCGGCGGATTCCCGTTCCTGCTGCGAGTGCCTCGGAGCCCCAGGCACAGCTGTTCTTGTCAGTATCCCGATGCATCACGATAAATCCAACCGGGCTCCTTTTTCGTACGCGGAGCCCCGGGATCGAGGCTCGCGTGCGTCGACGCACTCCTCTCGATCTCGATCCGGCTGATCTGGTGAAACCGAGGCGCGTGTCTCCTATCTCGTACGACGCGACGCGACGGTTAAATCTCAATTAAGGTAGATCCCTATCGGGGGACATTGCATCGCACGAGATTACCCCTAGCGATTGCATAATGAACGGCCCGCTCTGAGATTGATGACCCCAGAATAAAGATACAAATATTTTAATCCTCCCTCTCCAAGAACTCTTCTTATTGATTCTTCTCTTAACGTGTTGGGAAAAATACTTGGTACCTTCTAAAATTAGTAGAATCTGACAAGTACAGATTAGCATCTATGACTTTGATAAAAATTTATGGGAACCAAATTACTGGTCGGTATCTGAAAATTCAAAGATTTCGGCGATCAATATCGATACTTGTTTCCCGTGTCTGCAAGTGGAGGATCGGGATCGCCGATCACCGAACGTTGGCCAGGGAGAGAGGGCGGGAGGCTCGAGGGCCCGGGGCCCGAAGGCACGAATACGAAATGACGGTGGACGGATGTCTGACGTCTCTATAGCACTAAAACTGTGGGCATACGTGGCCACCCGACGGGGGTCCCGGGACGTCGTCGGAGACATCGGGCACCGCGGGCGGCCATTGTCTCAAGGGAGTCTCGAGGGCGCGGTCCGGATGGAAGGGCCTGGCAACCCCGGGCTGACACGCACGAGGGGGTCGTCTAGCGCCCCGTCGGGCCTCGAAACGAAATTAATAACCGAATCTCGAGAGTTATTCCTATTTCGGGGCGAGGGAGTTATCGGGCCCGGAGCCACCTGAACCTCCTGTCCTCCGTCTCGGCCCTCCACGGCGGAGAGGCCGTGATGTCACACCCACGCGATCCCTGAAAACGAATGTTGTTGCCCGCTCGCCGGTGACTTACGGCGACGATAAAAAACGATATTTACAGGGTAATCTTTAATTAAAATATATTGGCGTGATCGCGAATTCGCGAAGATGTTAATGAACCCCGATCCGTTCTCGATGTCTCTGTTAACTTTTCTTTTATTGCGTATTCGATCGCACCGCTGGGAGCGCTTGGTTGGATGCCACGAGGAGCGCGAAGATCGTGGTTGATCGATCAGCCTGTTTCGCAGGAATGCGTTGTCAACTTCATCCATCTTTGTAATGGCTTAAAGAAATGAGGCGTGTTAGTGTTAAAATAAAGGAATAATTAAGTTAATCGATTGGTTCGCGAGGTGATAACGACGCTTTCAGTCAGTGGTATAAGATGCAGTCTTCAATTATACTAGACTTGATTAATTATTAATTAAATTCTGAAAGTGTATTGACGCGTCAATCCGAAAACAGGACGACGTATCGTCTTAATGATACCGGAACGGGTTTTAACAGCAGAATTATTTTTCATATAATGTCCCTATATTAAAACGCGACTGGTAATCGAGTAACATTCTTGCCCGTTACGATCTGGCTGTATCAACTTTGCCGTTTCTCTGTAATACGTATCACGAGCGGCGTTTATAAGCGGACAATTAAAAGCGTGCAGCGGGGACATTTATGGCGGCACTAACTGCCCGTTAAGACGTAGGAACCTGCCTAACCGTGGAAGGTGTAATTGGCCGCGGCGCTCTGAACTCGCAGCTCGTAAAACAGCGGGTGTGCCGCGCGCGGTTCCAAGTTTTTCCTTTCTCGTCTCGAAATCCGTTTTTTCAATTATTTTTTCTTCGCGAGCTCCCAGGGCCTCGATCGTTCTCCGAACGCCAGTCACAAATCAGATATTAAATAACGAGACTCTTACTTCCCTAATTAACGTCGATTTAAACACACGCGAGAAAGACCGACGTTTGATAAAGAATTCAGATCAGAATTCCTTTCGCCGATAGTTATGCACCGTATGCGTTAAACTGTCTTAACAGAAGTTGTTACATGATTGTACAACTCGTACGTATGTACACGCGGCGTTTGAAACGGAAGGAAACCCGTACGCACGATGTAACGCGATAAAGTCTAGGAAACGCGCGTCTCCGTCAATGTCAGTGATGTTCCGCAGCCCACCCTATTTCCTCGCGGAGGGTTAAAAGGCAGCGGGAGTTCCGTTAAACCGGCGTCGTTATTAATACAGATCCGTCGAAGGATAGCGTTAATCGCGACGCGTCTTTAATTGCGACAGGCGTCAGGAGCCTTGGCGACGGTGCGTGGCGAGCAGTCCATGGGACTGTTGCGCGTAGAGGGCCCTCCGCGTTCGTTACGCTGCCCTAACCGCGGGTATACGCGTTCCATTTCTCCCTCGCGGTGTTCGATTAAAATGCCAGACGCCCCGCGTACACAGGAAAGAAAGAGGAAAGGCAGGGGAGAGGGAGAAAGAGAGAGATTCCCCCGATACGCGATATTGTTACGCGTGTACACGTTGTAACTGTCCGGATCCGTGACGGAGTCACGCGATATGCATTATGCACGCGAGTAAGGTGGCGGCAGCAACCGCCACGCTGCGCCGTCAGACGTTTCCGCGATCACTCCCACGATGCACCGTCGCGTCGAGTGACGGCGATCGCCGCTTTGTGAGAAAACGGGCCGTTGATGCTGTTCGCTTCGTGAAAAGAGATTCATTGAATATCGAACCAACATGAGCGAATTTCAGTTTCAAGCATCTTCTCTATTGGTAGCAAGTAGTCGATCTACGACATTGATCAGACTGAAAAGTATTATAGGAGATCGACTCACGTGGGTTCTAAAGGTACGTTCTTAAAAAAATGTTCGAGACTACGAATGAAAAAAATGATAAAGGACGTGGCTATATTTATGGACTTTTATTCTATTCTCATCCGTTTCCGTGGATACGCGGTGCAATAAAAGCTCTTCCGAGTATCGCATGAATTTAAGAAGTAATTAGCGTCCTCGTGATATGGAAACGAGCGGAAAAGATGGAATGTATTTTTATTACTGCTAATTCCTCGGATGTTCGTTATTTTTGAAAAGAGAAAATAAGAGAAGGTAGGCTATTCTTCGATACAGAGGGCTAACGAAATAATTGTTACGATCGTTCGCGATATGTAATTACCATCGTCTTGGCTCGTTATTTTTTTCAAAGAATCCGACGATAGCGCGATTACTTCGTACGCGTTCGTTTCGTACGAATCAGACTTCCGTACTCGCCTTTAATTGCAGTTTAATACAACAAGAAATGCGTTCACGTTGCATCCCGATTCTCATTTTCGAAACAAACGTACCGTCAATTCTTTTTTCCCTCGCGGAACAGTTCTTCTTCGAACTAATTAAGAGGACAGATGCCGCTTAACTCGTTTTTGTTCCCCCTCGTTCGTTTCAAACGATTTCAAATCGGATAAGACTGTTAAGGCATATACTTACGCGGTGTGACACGCAATCAGTGATTGGCGAATATGTACGCTCGTCTCAACCAGCTGTGTTTGGTCGAAAAATGCGGAGGAACGTCGTCGCGGCGTCACGATCCGAACGATGGACGGGGACCTCCAACGCCGATACACGCATACCGCGGTTCATTACAGCTGCTGTATTAACCTGCGTATACGTATAGTATGCCATACTATACACGACGCGTCATTACTCTGATTAGCATAATGACAGGCGAACAACTCAATTTGCATGGAAAATCACACGGGCATGTAACGAAGTTCGCCCGCGGATCCGTGATCGTCCTTCTGCGCTTGTAATAAAGCCTCGCACACTGTCGTCTATCCACTCTGCGAGTATCGACGTGTATACGTGGTGTGCCAAAATTGTAACCAAACTACATCTATCGTCTAACAACTAAAT